ATCACTCACCACTATAAAACTGGGTTTCCCCTGTCTGGAGATACAACTCACCACTATCTGTTTTCTGTCTGGAGATACAACTCACCACTATAACTGTTCCTCTGTCTGGAGATAAAAACTCACCTCTATACTGTTCCTCTGTCTGGGAGATTTCAACTCACCACTATAACTGTTCCTCTGTCTGGAGATACAACTCACCACTATAACTGTTCCTCTGTCTGGAGACACAACTCACCACTATAACTGTTCCTCTGTCTGGAGATACAACTCACCACATAACTGTTCCTCTGTCTGGAGATACAACTCACCACTATAACTGTTCCTCTGTCTGGAGATACAACACACCACTATAAACTGTTCCTCTGTCGGAGATACAACTCACCACTAATAACTGTTCCTCTGTCTGGAGATACAACTCACCACTATAACTGGTCTGTCTGGAGATACAACTCACCACTATACTGTTCCTCTGTCTGGAGATACACCTCACCACTATAACTGTTCCTCTGTCTGAGATACAACACCACCACTATAACTGTTCCTCTGTCTGGAGATACAACTCACCACTATAACTGTTCTCTGTCTGGAGATACAACTCACCACTATAACTGTTCCTCTGTCTGGAGATACAACTCACCACTATAAACTGTTCCTCTGTCTGGAGATACAACTCACCTCTATAACTGTTCCTCGTCTGGAGATACAACTCACCACTATAACTGTTCCTCTGTCTGGAGATACAACTCACCACTATAACTGTTCCTCTGTCTGGAGACACAACTCACCACTATAACTGTTCCTCTGTCTGGAGATACAACTCACCACTATAACTGTTCCTCTGTCTGGAGATACAACTCACCACTATAACTGTTCCTCTGTCTGGAATACAACACACCCACTATAAACTGTTCCTCTGTCTGGAGATACAACTCACCACTATAACTGTTCCTCTGTCTGGAGATACAACTCACCACTATAACTGGTCTGTCTGGAGATACAACTCACCACTATAACTGTTCCTCTGTCTGGAGATACAACTCACCACTATAACTGGTCTGTCTGGAGATACAACTCACCACTATAACTGTTCTCTGTCTGGAGATACAACTCACCACTATAACTGTTCCTCTGTCTGGAGATACAACTCACCACTATAACTGTTCCTCTGTCTGGAGACACAACTCACCACTATAACGTTCCTACTGTCTGGAGATACAACTCACCACTATAAACTGTTCCTCTGTCTGGAGATACAACTCACCACTATAACTGTTCCTCTGTCTGGAGATACAACTCACCACTATAAAACTGTTCCTCTGTCTGGAGATACAACTCACCACTATAACTGTTCCTCTGTCTGAGATACAACTCACCACTAAACTGTTCCTCTGTCTGGAGATACAACTCACCACTATAACTGTTCCTACTGTCTGGAGATTACAACTCACCACTATAACTGTTCCTCTGCTGTCGGAGATACAACTCACCATATAACTGTTCCTCTGTCTGGAGATACAACTCACCACTATAACTGTTCCTCTGTCTGGAGATACAAACTCACCACTATCAAACTGTTCCTCTGGTCTGGATATACCAACTCAAACCACCGATAAACTGTTTCCTCTGTCTGGTAGATACACTCAACACTATAACTGTTCCTCTGTCTGGAGATACACCCCACTATAACTGTTCCTCTGTCTGGAGATACAACTTTCTCTACAGGTGAATGTGTTTTCTTCTTGTTGGTCCTCTCTCTCTCTACAGGTGAATGTGTTTTCTTCTTGTTGGTCCTCTCTCTCTCTCTCTCCAGGTGAATGTGTTTTCTTCTTGTTGGTCCTCTCTCTCTCTACAGGTGAATGTGTTTTCTTCTTGTTGGTCCTCTCTCTCTCTCTACAGGTGAATGTGTTTTCTTCTTGTTGGTCCTCTCTCTCTCTCTTCTACAGGTGAATGTGTTTTCTTCTTGTTGGTCCTCTCTCTCTCTCTCTACAGGTGAATGTGTTTTCTTCTTGTTGGTCCTCTCTCTCTCTCTCTCTCTCTACAGGTGAATGTGTTTTCTTCTTGTTGGTCCTCTCTCTCTCTCTCTCTCTACAGGTGAATGTGTTTTCTTCTTGTTGGTCCTCTCTCTCTCTCTACAGGTGAATGTGTTTTCTTCTTGTTGGTCCTTTCTCTCTCTCTACAGGTGAATGTAAACCTCCTCTCTGTCCCACATACAATACCCCATAATGACAAAGTAAAAACATGTTTTTGTACGTTTTGGCAAATGTATTGAATATGAAACACAGAAATAGCCCATTTAAATAAGTATTCACACCCCTGAGTCAATACATGTTAGAATCACCTTTGGCAGTGATTACAGCTGTGAGTCTTTCTGGGTAAGTCACTAAGAGCTTTTAAATTAACTCCAGATAGCAGTTCATCATATCTCCCTCTCTGCTCTACGACAACCTGCTTCCTGTCCCACATAGACTCCTCCTGTAGGGTTCATCTCAGGTCTCTGATGCTTTAGATGTTCTCATAAGGAGGCAGCATCCCTCTCTGTAAGATCACTGAGATGAGTTGATGAGAAGCCCCCTCTAATTCATGAGGAGTGGTTTGTCTGTCACATTCTTTCTGTCTCCTTAACAGAGAGTCAACATGATCAGAATTCTTATCTCCATAACCATTGGTTACACAGCCTGGGCTGCAGGTATTCAGATCATTGATTTCATCAACTACTAATATCCTCATTTGATTGGTTTTTATGTTTCAGGTAAATATGTTTCTTTATCTGTTGTTTCAACTCTCTCTCTCTCTCTCTCTCTCTCTCTCTCTCTCTCTCTCTCTCTCCTCTCTCTCTCTCACTCTCACTCTCACTCTCACTCTCACTCTCACTCTCACTCTCACTCTCACTCTCACTCTCACTCTCACTCTCTCTCTCTCTCTCTCTCTCTCCAGGTTATTCTCCGAGTAACCAGGTTCACCAGAGTCCTGCAGCCCTGTACAAGAAACAGGGAGAGTCGCCTAAGATGGAGTGTTCACATAAAGTATCAGGCTATGATCGCATCCTCTGGTACAAGCAATCCAACTACAGAGAATTTGTGTTTTTAGGATACATGATAGGGAAAACTGGATATCCTGAGGCTGGATTTGATATAGAAGGAGATGCTAATGCAGGTGGTACCAGCACCTTAACCATCAATCAACTAACTCCAGATAGCAGTGCTGTGTATTACTGTGCCGCTAGTTTACACAGTGCATCAGATCTCCCTCTCTGCTCTACAAAAACCTCATCCCTGGTGTACTGTAGACTAATCACACCTGCATTAACATCACACTGTAACTGACTCTGATTCAATGCCAAAACACTCACCAGCTTGCCTAACAGGAAGGGAAGGTTCCCTCTGACATACAGGAGAACATGATACAGTGTGGTATGATATCATGTCTTTCCTGTAGGTGGAGTTACAGCTCAACAAAACCATGTGGACAGAGCTCTAAATCAACATTGTTCAACTTTTTATTGATTGATATACAGCCCGTATTGGGCCTATGTGAATTCTAGCTACTTTTGAAGCACATTGTTGTGTCCTAGATACTAATATGTAACACTGTGAAGACATGAGTTTATTATAAAAGATCAAAGGTTGATAAGAATACCTGTCAATTAAATTACAAAGTCATTTCTGGAATATTAGGTTTTTACATTGTGTAAAGGGACTATTTTCCTATTGAGATACATTACATTGAAAATCTGTTTTGGGAGCGACCGTATTTCCTTAAAAGGGACGGCCTGCACCCGAACAGGACAGGAGCTTGGATGCTGAGTGCTAACATTGAAAAGGTACACAAAAAAAAGTGATGGTATATCAGTCCTTGTTATTCTGGCTTCTCAAACTAACGAGGACATTTTGATGATTACTGAGACTTGGTTATAAAAGTCTGTGCCTGACTGATGTGTCTCTGAATGGATACAGATCTGACAGAGCTGGCAGAGATGGGGGGGAGTCGCCATATACAGATCTGACAGAGCTGGCAGAGATGGGGGGGAGTCGCCATATACAGATCTGACAGAGCTGGCAGAGATGGGGGGGAGTCGCCATATACAGATCTGACAGAGCTGGCAGAGATGGGGGGGAGTCGCCATATACAGATCTGACAGAGCTGGCAGAGATGGGGGGGAGTTGCCATATTCATAAAGAACATTTTACATTACATTTACGTCATTTAGCAGACGCTCTTATCCAGAGCGACTTACAGTTAGTGAATACATATATTTTTTTCATACTGGTCCCCCGTGGGAATTGAACCCACAACCCTGGCGTTGCAAACACCATGCTCTACCAACTGAGCTACATCCCTGCCGGCCATTCCCTCCCCTACCCTGGACGACGCTGGGCCAATTGTGCGCCGCCCATGAGTCTCCCGGTCGCGGCCGGCTGCGACAGAGCCTGGATTCGAACCAAGATCTCTAGTGGCACAGCTAGCACTGCGTTGCAGTGCCTTAGACCACTGCGCCACTCAGGAGACTGAACAACTTGCATGTTACTGTGTGTCCCCAAGCAACTTCAATGTCTTGTCCTAAATGTGGGCCTTGGTGTTAATGCTCAACTAACGTTAGTGGGAGACAAGCGGCCTCCTGATGTGGTCTTAGCAAATTGTCTGACCTGCTGTCTAACTATGCTAAATCTGAATTATTCGTAGTGGGTGATATTAATCTGGATTGGTTGATGCCAGTATCTGATACGCTGAAATGTATTTGTACAGAGCTAAATCTAACTCTGCTGATAACTAAACCAACTCGCCTCAACTTGAAACACCCTGAAAAATCTACTCTCTTAGATATTATTATAACAAATGCAAATGTTATGTCTGAACTGGGGTTGAGTGACTGGTGGGTTGTGTCAACTATCACCGACTCAGATCGTGCCCTTAATTGTTTTATTTCACTGTTTAACTCTGTTACAGATAAACATGCACCGTGTACAAAAGGTTAAGGATAAAAGGCAAATCTCATCCTTGGTTCACGCATGAATTGACTGAGAAATTACAGGAAAGAAATGGAGCTTGGTCTAGTGCTAGACTGGCTGATTCTACGTCTGATTGTCAGTCCTTCATACATTTGAGAAATACAGTGGGGGAAAAAAGTATTTAGTCAGCCACCAATTGTGCAAGTTCTCCCACTTAAAAAGATGAGAGAGGCCTGTAATTTTCATCATAGGTACACGTCAACTATGACAGACAAATTGAGAAAAAAAATTCTCCAGAAAATCACATTGTAGGATTTTTAATGAATTTATTTGCAAATTATGGTGGAAAATAAGTATTTGGTCACCTACAAACAAGCAAGATTTCTGGCTCTCACAGACCTGTAACTTCTTCTTTAAGAGGCTCCTCTGTCCTCCACTCGTTACCTGTATTAATGGCACCTGTTTGAACTTGTTATCAGTATAAAAGACACCTGTCCACAACCTCAAACAGTCACACTCCAAACTCCACTATGGCCAAGACCAAAGAGCTGTCAAAGGACACCAGAAACAAAATTGTAGACCTGCACCAGGCTGGGAAGACTGAATCTGCAATAGGTAAGCAGCTTGGATTGAAGAAATCAACTGTGGGAGCAATTATTAGGAAATGGAAGACATACAAGACCACTGATAATCTCCCTCGATCTGGGGCGCCACGCAAGATCTCACCCCGTGGGGTCAAAATGAGCTGGGACCAAAGTAACAAAGCCTACCATCAGTAACACACTACGCCGCCAGGGACTCAAATCCTACAGTGCCAGACGTGTCCCCCTGCTTAAGCCAGTACATGTCCAGGCCCGTCTGAAGTTTGCTAGAGTGCATTTGGATGATCCAGAAGAGGATTGGGAGAATGTCATATGGTCAGATGAAACCAAAATAGAACTTTTTGGTAAAAACTCAACTCGTCTTGTTTGGAGGACAAAGAATGCTGAGTTGCATCCAAAGAACACCATACCTACTGTGAAGCATGGGGGTGGAAACATCATGCTTTGGGGCTGTTTTTCTGCAAAGGGACCAGGACGACTGATCCGTGTAAAGGAAAGAATGAATGGGGCCATGTATCGTGAGATTTTGAGTGAAAACCTCCTTCCATCAGCAAGGGCATTGAAGATGAAACGTGGCTGGGTTTTTCTGAATGACAATGATCCCAAACACACCGCTCGGGCAACGAAGGAGTGGCTTCGTAAGAAGCATTTCAAGGTCCTGGAGTGGCCTAGCCAGTCTCCAGATCTCAACCCCATAGAAAATATTTGGAGGGAGTTGAAAGTCCGTGTTGCCCAGCGACAGCCCCAAAACATCACTGCTCTAGAGGAGATCTGCATGGAGGAATGGGCCAAAATACCAGCAACAGTGTGTGAAAACCTTGTGAAGACATACAGAAAACGTTTGACCTGTGTCATTGCCAACAAAGGGTATATAACAAAATATTGAGAAACTTTTGTTATTGACCAAATACTTATTTTCCACCATAATTTGCAAATAAATTCATAAAAAATCCTACAATGTGATTTTCTGGATTTTTCTTCTTCCTTTTGTCTGTCATAGTTGACGTGTACCTATGATGAAAATTACAGGCCTCTCTCATCTTTTTAAGTGGGAGAACTTGCACAATTGGTGGCTGACTAAATACTTTTTTCCCCCACTGTAGATGTCTATCTCTGGTAAGAAAAGCAAAATCAACATTTTCCTTGAATTGTGTATCGGAGAGTGGTGGTAATCAAGCTATTTTCTGGAAAGTGGTCATATCTTTGAAACAAAACTCCACCCACTCATTTCCCCAGCAGGATCTGACAGCTTCTGGTCCCATACTAGACACATTAGAAATGTGTAGTGCTTTTAAGAACCATTTTGCTTCAACTGGCCACCTGTTTGAAATGAAAGTCTCTGAAAATGCATCTCATTCCACTAGAGGGAGTCCTTTAGTCACCTCAGAACAGATTGTACCATTTGATGTCTATGATGTATTAAGTGCCTTGCTAAAGATCAATGTAAAAAAAAAAAAATCCACAGGGGCTGATTCACCTTTGACCCCTTCTTGTTACAGCTCTCTGTCCCACTCACTGTTGAACCTTTAACCTGTATTTTGAAGTTGACAATTGCTACTGGTGTTATCCCACATAAAGGTGAATATTCTTCTGATTTAGATAATTACCCGGCCAATCTCCAAGTTTTCTTCTCTAGCCAAGGTACTAGAATCCCTGACCAACTCCCAGTATTGGGACCTGTTCTCTTTACTATTTATATAAATAATATTGGTCTACGTATTAAATCCTGTCATATTAACTGTTGACCAAGCTGTGCCTTGCAAAAATATTAATACCCCATGACTTCTTCCGCATTTTGTTGTGTTAAAGCCTGAATTAAAAATTGACTAAATATATATTTTTCTCACCCATCTACACACAATACCCCATAATGACAAAGTGAAAACATGTTCTTTGACATTTTTGCAAATGAATTGATAATGATATACAGAAATATCTCATTTACACAACTATTCACACCCCTGAATCAATACTTTGTAGAATAACCTTTGGCAGCAATTACAGCTGTGAATCTTTCTGGGAATGTCTCTAAAAGCTTCCACACCTGCCCATTATTATTTTCAAAATTCTTCAAGCTCTGTCAAATTGTTTGATAATCAATGCTAGACAACCATTTTCAGGTCTTGCCATAGATTTTCTTGCAGATTTAGGTCAAAACTGTAACGTGGCTTCTCAGGAACATTCACTGTAAGTAAGCAAAGCAACTCCAGTGTAGATTTGGCCTTGTGTTTTAGGTTATTGTCCTGCTGAAAGGTACATTTAATTTCATATCAGTCGAGCTAAATCACTTCTATGCTCGCTTCGAGGCAAGCAACACTGAAGCATGCGTGAGAGCATCAGCTGTTCCGGACGACTGTGTGATCACGCTCTCCATAGCCGATGTGAGTAAGACCTTTAAACAGGTCAACATTCACAAGGCCGCAGGGCCAGACTGATTACCAGGACGTGTACTCCGAGCATGCGCTGACCAACTGGCAGGTGTCTTCACTGACATTTTCAACCTGTCCCTGACTGAGTCTGTAATACCAACATGTTTCAAGTAGACCACCATAGTCCTTGTGCCCAAGAACACTAAGGAAACCTGCATAAATGACTACAGACCCGTAGCACTCACGTCTGTAGCCATGAAGTGCTTTGAAAGGCTGGTCATGGCTCACCCCTACCTTGTCACAACACAACTGATTGGCTCAAATGCATTAAGAAGGAAATAAATTCCTCAAATTAACTTTTAAGAAGGCACCCCTGTTCATTGAAATGCATTCCAGGTGACTACCTCATGAAGCTGGTTGAGAGAATGCCAAGTGTGTACAAAGCTGTCATCAAGGCAAAGGGTGGCTACTTTGAAGAATCTAAAATCTAAAATATATTTTGATTTGTTTAACACTTTTTTGGTTACTACATGATTCCATTTGTGTTATTTCATAGTTTTGATGTCTTCACTATTTATTGTACAATGTAGAAAATAGTACAAATAAAGAAAAACCCTTGAATGAGTAGGTCTGTCCAAACTTTTGACTGCTACTGTACATATTACCTCAATTACGTCAACTAACCGGTGCCCCCGTACATTGACTCTGTACCGGCACCCCCTGTACATAACCTCCCTACTGTTATTTCCCATTGACTCTGTACCGGCACCCCCTGTTTATAGCCTCTCTACTGTTATTTCCCATTGACTCTGTACCGGCACCCCCTGTATATAGCCTCTCTACTGTTATTTCCCATTGACTCTGTACCGGCACCCCCTGTATATAGCCTCCCTACTGTTATTTCCCATTGACTCTGTACCGGTACCCCCTGTATATAGCCTCTCTACTGTTATTTCCCATTGACTCTGTACCGGCACCCCCTGTATATAGCCTCTCTACTGTTATTTCCCATTGACTCTGTACCGGTACTTCCTGTATATAGCCTCTCTACTGTTATTTCACATTGACTCTGTACCGGTACCCCCTGTATATAGCCTCTCTACTGTTATTTCCCATTGACTCTGTACCGGTACCCCCTGTATATAGCCTCTCTACTGTTATTTCCCATTGACTCTGTACCGGTACTTCCTGTATATAGCCTCCCTACTGTTATTTCATATTGACTCTGTACCGGTACTTCCTGTATATAACCTCTCTACTGTTATTTTACTGCTTTTATTCTTTACTCATCTATTGCTTAACACCTATTTTTCTTAAAACTGCATTGTTGGTTAAGGGCTTGTAAGTAAGCATTTCACTGTAAGGTCTACACCTGTTGGTTTTGTTTGCCTTGTTGCAAACAGGATGCATGTTTTGGAACAGTTTTTATTCTGTACAGGCTTCCTTCTTTTCACTCCATCAATTAGGTTAGTATTGTGGAGTAACTAAAATATTAGTTTTCTCCTATCACAGCCATTAAACTCTGTAACTGTTTTAAAGTCACCATTGGACTCATTGTGAATTCCCTGAGCGGTTTCTTTCCTCTCCGGCAACTGAGTTAGGAAGGACACCTGCATCTTTGTAGTGACTGGGTATATTGATACACCATCCAAAGTGTAATTAATAACTTCACCATGCCCAAAGGGATATTCAATGTCTGTTCGCGAGGCATTGGAAAACCTCCCTGGTCTTTGTGGTTGAATCTGTGTTTGAAATTCACTGCTCGACTGAGGGACCTTACATATAATTGTATGTGTGGGTTACAGAGAACAAAATCATGTTAAACACTATTATTGCACACCGAGTGAGTCCATGCAACTTATTATGCGACTTGTTCAGCAGATTTATACTCCTGAACTTATTTAGGCCATAATAACATTTTAGCCTAAAGTTTGTATTTAATTTCAAAGAAATTCAAAAAAACATAATTCCAATTTGATATTTAAATCTAAATGTAATTCATTTTAAATTCAGGTTATAGCACAACAAAATGTGGAAAAATACTTTTCTGAAGGCACTGTATGTTAGAGCTGCAATCTGATTGTGTTGCACCACAGAAAGCCCTTGTTGATTTAAAACAAAACAAAATATGTGTTGTTCTCTAATTCACTAAAACATTTCTCAGATGGGCTACATATTCACTCACTGGATGGCTCTCTCATCGAAGCAGATTGTGCAGTCGACTTTCCTGACAGTTCTTGCCAATGGTGACACCATTTCCATAGATCACATCATTACTCCCTTCTTGTTTACAAAGCTCTGCTCCAGAAGCTTCCAACATACCTCACTTTCCTGTTGAAATATAAAAACATGAGATACGTTCACAGGGTTCTTTAACTCTCGAGGCACCGCTTGTCTCCACAAAATTTGGTAAATCCCCCTTTAGTGTTGTTAAAGGAGTTTACTGAAGTGTGCAATTGTTTCAATTGACTATTATAACTTGTAGTAATAACCTGATGTAACGTCTTTATAGCTGTCTTGTAGTTTATATCTTTTGGTTGTTGTGTTGTTGGAATTTTTGTCGTCAGGGAACCATTGCAAATCAGACACTGGTCTCAATTGGGCTCCCCTCAATACATAAAGGTAAATAAATACATTAAATAATTAGGGAAGGGGGATTCTGGGAAATATTTAGACACTAGTTTACTAGCAATAACAAGTCTTTAGATTGGCTTTTATAACACATAGGTGCTGCTATAATAAACAGAATATATGGACAAAATATATACCCAAAATAATTGACAAAAATATATTTAATACCTTCTATAGTAGGCTAATTAGTTAAGGGGGATTCGGGGGAATATTTACACACTAGTCTACTTGCAATATATAGCCTAACAAGTCATTAAATTGGCTTTAATACCACATAGGTAAGGCAATAGCTATCTACTGGACATTTATACAGTGCTTTTTACTAAACACAAGTCATCATTAATTACAATAAAGGTCAATTCGGGGACTGTCTGTGTATTTTAATAGTTTTATCAATGTTTATCCGCTTCTGAATCTCATTCTCTTCAGCCCAGCTAGTGAGTTTATGAGCTGTAGTAATGAGTGACTCTGGTGTCATATTACTATTATTATTACATGGCAAAATGGTTCAATTCACACACTGATCAAGAAAACATCCCTGGTCCTCCCTACTGCCTCTGATCTGGTGGACTCACTAAACACACATGATTCATTTGTAAATGATGTCTGAGTGTTGGAACGTGCCCCTGGCTATCCGTAAATGTTATAAAATCAAGAAAATTATGCCGTGAATTTGGCTTAATGTAAGGAATTTGAAATTATTTATACTTGTGCTTTAACTTTTGATTCTTAAGTATATTTTAGCAATTACATTTACTTTTGATACTTAAGTATATATAAAAAACAAATACATTTAGACTTTTACTCAAGTAGTATTTTAATGGGTGACTTTCACTTTTACTTGAGTCAATTTCAATTAAGGTATCTTTACTTTTACTGAAGTATGACAATTGGATACTTTTTCCACCACTTCAAGTGTCTCTGGTGTCAGATTACATTACATAGCCACTGGACTGAAGGCTGGAAAGTCCCGCCTATCTCCCGCTTATTTCATTAGCTGAAAGGCCTGTCACTTCCTGGCAGAAAGATACACATACGCTCTCGGCAACGAAACACAACCCTGGAAATCTATCCCCATCCACATAAACTAGTCCCAGCATCGTTCTTTGACAAACACAGAAGGTTGTATATTGAATTCAATAGGAGAAAACAGAGAGAGCAGGAGAGAGAGGAGACCGGCAGTACTTTAATGAAGCCATTGGCTCTATTATTAAAAAAACATTAAGGAACTGGCAGTCTCTCTCTCTCTCCTTCTCTCGCTCTGCTTTCTTCAATTGAATTAGATGTAGCCTAATATTTAAACACGTATCTAAACCCCCAGTGTTGATATAATATAACAAGTACAGCTGTACCAAACCCCCAGTGTTGATATAATATAACAAGTACAGCTGCACTAAACCCCCAGTGTTGATATAATATAACAAGTACAGCTGCACTAAACCCCCAGTGTTGATATAATATAACAAGTACAGCTGCACTAAACCCCCAGTGTTGATATAATATAACAAGTACAGCTGTACTAAACCCCCAGTGTTGATATAATATAACAAGTACAGCTGCACTAAACCCCCAGAGTTTCAATAGGATGGAATATAATATGTAAAGAGATGGTCTCACCCCTATGGACTCTGGTCTAAAGTAGTGCACTATAAAGGGAATAGGGTGCCATTTGGGATGCAGTATACATTTGACACTCCCACTAGCTGACAACACATCTCTGACTATCTGAAAACCATTTCTCCTTGAGAAACTGCTATCCTGTCCTGTAGAACACGCTCTCCCCAGCTACAACACCATACTGTGGTATCGGCAGGTAGAACACGCTCTCCCCAGCTACAACACCATACTGTGGTATCAGCAGGTAGAACACGCTCTCCCCAGCTACAACACCATGCTGTGGTATCAGCAGGTAGAACACGCTCTCCCCAGCTACAACACCATGCTGTGGTATCAGCAGGTAGAACACGCTCTCCCCAGCTACAACACCATGCTGTGGTATCAGCAGGTAGAACACGCTCTCCCCAGCTACAACACCATGCTGTGGTATCGGCAGGTAGAACACGCTCTCCCCAGCTACAACACCATGCTGTGGTATCAGCAGGTAGAACACGCTCTCCCCAGCTACAACACCATACTGTGGTATCAGCAGGTAGAACACGCTCTCCCCAGCTACAACACCATGCTGTGGTATGGTGAGGTATACCTAGAGATTGAAGCTGCTCTGATATATCTACCATGATGGGGTATACCTAGAGACTGAAGCTGCTCTGAAACAGGGAGAACACTTCTCAAGTACCTGTACATACGTCTCGCGATCAGACACTGATAAGATAATGATTAGTCCAGACTGTGAGTGAGGAGGTGCCTAAGGTTGTCGGAGGATGACACCTAGTGGGTCGCTCCGGAACTGCGACCCCCTCCTGTAAATGCGAACCCCTCCTGTAAAAGATCCTGGTTGACGTGCTCCGTTTGCTCGTTCGACTGTGGATGGAAGCCGGAAGACATCCTTACGGAGGCGCCGATGCAGGTTGCGAATGCCTTCCAGAACCTGGAGGCGAACTGAGGACCCCGATCCGACACCACATCTTGGGGAAGGCCGTGGACCCGGAAAAAGTGCTGCACAACCAACTTAGCCGTCTCCCAGGCCGACTGGAGTTTGAGAAGGGGAATGAAGTGGGCAGCCTTCGAAAACCGGTCCACAACGACCAGGATGACTTTGTATCCATCAAATGGGCGTAGGGCGGAAATGAAATCCAGCTTGATGTGACCCCAAGAGCGCTTGGGGATAGGCAGGGGTCGGAGCAGTCCTGCCGCGGGCTGACGTGAGCTCTTCGTGCCTGCGCACAATGGGCAATCAGCCACGAAGGCGCGCGTATCCCCCTCAGCTGATGGCCACCAGAACCTCCTATGCAGGAACTCCAACGTCCTGGCGCGGTCAGACGCGTGCGCCCACTGAAGCAGTCGCGAGCGCGCAGCCTTGTGTACATACATCCTCCCCGATGGACCTCTGCCCGGATTGGGCTCCCGCCGTAGCGCTGCTCTGACCAGCCTATCAATTCCCCATGAAACTGGGGCAGGAATCAGGGCGTTGGGGACAATGGGGTCGTCCCTCTCCACCAGGTCCACGGGTCTTGGAGTTCTTCGACCCCGGACGGTACGAGATCATGAACCGGAACCTGGTGAAGAACAACGCCCACCTGGCCTGGCGCGAGTTGAGCCTCTTGGCCCCCTGAATGTAGGCTAAGTTCTTGTGGTCAGTACATACGACGAATGGATGGGCGGCCCCCTCTAGCCAATACCTCCACTCCCCCAGGGCGAGCTTGACCGCAAGCAGCTCACGGTTCCCCACGTCGTAATTCCACTCCGCCGCGGACAGCCGACGGGAGAAAAACACGCAGGGGTGAGTCTTACCGTCCGTGAGGAACTGCTGGGACAGGATTGCTCCCACAGCAACATCTGAAGCATCCACCTCCACAATGAACGGCAAGGACGAATCAGGATGCCTTAGCGCTGCTTAAGCGCATCAAATGCCATCCCCGCTTCCGGGTTCCAGGCGAAGGAGCGCACGTTCATCTGGGTAAGGGCTGTCAGGGGAGCGGCTAGGTAGCTAAAATTGCTAATAAATTGCCTATAAAAATTAGTGAACCCTAAAAACCGTTGTAGTTGCTTGAGGGATGAGGGCTGGGGCCAATCCAGTACTGCGCTGACCTTGGCTGGGTCCATCCGTTGGTCCCCCTGGGTGACGATGAACCCCAGAAAGTAGACTGTCTCTGTGTCGAACACGCACTTCTCCGCCTTGACGTAGAGCTGGTGACGGAAAAGGCGTTGGAGGACCTGCCGAACGTGCTGCTGGTGTTCACACATGTCCTTTGAAAATATTAGGATGTCATCCAAATACACGAAGATGCTGTAGTCGAGGAGGTCCCGGAGCACGTCATTGACCAACGCCTGGAACAAAGCAGGCGCGTTGGCTAGACCAAACGGCATGACTTGGTACTCGTAATGCCCAGTGGGTGTGTTAAAAGCCGTCTTCCACTCGTCCCCCTCCCGAATCCTCACCGGGTTGTAGGCATTTAGTAAGTCCAGCTTGGTGAAGACCCGGGCTCCCTGCAACGACTCGAATGCTGTCGTCATCAGGGGGAGTGGGTAGCGGTTCTTAACAGTGATGTCGTTGAGCGCACGGTAATCAATGCACAGCCGCTGCCCACCATCCTTTTTCCCCACGAAGAAGAAGCCCGTGCCCGTGGGTGAGATAGAGGGACGGATGTGACCCTCGACAAGCGCATCATCGATATACTCCCTCATGGCCAGCGTCTCCGGCCGGGACAAGGAAAATAATCGCCCTCGTGTGGGCATGGCACCCGGCAGGAGATCGATAGCGCAGTTGTAAGGCCTGTGAGGAGGTAGACCCTTGGCACACCTCTTACTAAACACCTCCCCCAGATCCCAATACTCCTGGGGAATGCCTGCCAGGTCTGGGCCGGTGACGGAGTCTGTGGGCGGTAGGCGGTTCGGAGTGCAGGACCTGGTGGTCTGGGATGGTGGTTTGGGCTGATGAGTGGTCGGTGGAGACCGGAACAGGACGGAGGAAGAGCCTCCCTTCAGGATGAGGCACCATGTGGACCAGCCTATCCGGGGTTTGTGGGTGACCAGCCAGGGGTGCCCGAGGACAAGGGGACACTCCGGAGAGTCCACAATGAAAAACTGGATATCTTCCCATAGCCCCCCTGCCACCCGGACACGCACGGGGACAGTGCGCCGGGTTATGAAGCCCGACCCCAACGACCAGCCGTCCAGGCCCATGACCGGAACTGGCTCGGAGAGGGAGAGTAACGGAACGCTCCACCCTTGGGCCAGCCCCGCGTCCATCAGGTTTTCCGCGGCCCCCGAATCCAACAGTGCATGCACCCGATGCGCAGCGCGGGCCAATTGAACCCTGACGGGGAGAAAAGTCTGGGAGTCTCTGGGGTTAGGATTTCAGTTCCGGCTCGCTAGCACCCCTCCCAATATTAGCGAGCCCTCCCGTTTCCCGGCTTCTCTGGGCATGAGTCACAGTGGTAACCTGCATGGCCGCAGTACAGGCAATGTCCCTTGCACAGACGTCTCTGCTTCTCCATCCTGGACAAGCACGCCTTGCGTCATCCCACCTTCGTGTGCCCTCTTACGATGCCGATTGTCTACCCGCACCGAGAGGTCGACGAGGCCGTCCTGTCGCTCAGGCAGCTCCCTGAAGGAGAGTTCGTCCATCATCCCCTCTGATAGCCTCTGCGCATAAAGGACGACCAGGGCTGCCTCCTCCCATCCTGCCCCTCGAGCCCGTGTCCGGAACTCCACGGATTAGTCCGCAACCGAACGGTCACCCTGCCAACAGGCCGTGAGCCGCCTCCCGGCCTCGTGCCCCGACACCACCCGAGAAGTGTCTAACACCTTGCGGAGCTAGAGACTAAAGCTGCTCTGATATGCGGTGGACAACCTGGACGCTTTTCTGACCAGGGATTTTCACCGTCGGTGCCCTGACCGACCCGCTCCGCGTTCCTGTGGTTGTCCCCGAGGCCGGTGTCGTCCCACTGGGGGTGGGGGGTACTGTCACGGATCCCCCCAGTACTAATGCTAATTCGGTTTACCAGCTCCAGAGGTCTACGTCACCGGCCTTCTAGGCGTCACTGACCTGGTTCATTACCACCAACCCCAGACTGTCTTGTCTCATTACGCACACCTGGTTCCCATTCCCCCTGATTAGTATGTGTATATACAGTGCCTTGCAAAAGTATTCATCACCCTTGGCATTTTTCCTATTTTGTTGCATTACAACCTGTAATTTAAATGGATTTTAATTTGAAGTTTCCAAATTGGTGAAGTGAAATAAAAAATATAACTTGTTTAAAAAAATTCGGAAAAATAAATAACGGAAACGTTGTGCGTGCATATGTATTCACCCCCTTTGCTATGAAGCCCCTAAATAAGATCTGGTGCATCCAATTACCTTCAGAAGTCACATAATTAGTTAAATAAAGTCCACCTGTGTGCAATCTAAGTGTCACATGATCTGTCACATGATCTCAGTATATATACACCTGTTCTGAAAGGCCCCAGAGTCTGCAACACCACTAAGCAAGCGGCACCATGAAGACCAAGGAGCTCTCCAAACAGGTCAGGGACAAAGATGTGGAGAAGTACAGATAAGGGTTCGGTTATAAAAAATATCAGAAACTTTGAACATCCCACGGAGCACCATTAAATCCATTATTAAAGAATTGAAAGAATATGTCACCACAACAAACCTTTCAAGAGAGGGCCGCCCACCAATACTCACGGACCAGGCAAGGAGGGCATTAATCAGAGAGGCAACAAAGAAACCAAAGATAACCCTGAAGGAGCTGCAAAGCTCCACATAGGAGATTGGAATATTTGTCCATAGGACCACTTTAAGCCGTACACTCCACAGAGCTGGGCTTTACGGCGGAAGAGTGGCCAGAAATATGCCATTGCTTAAAGAAAAAAATAAGCAAACACGTTTGATGTTTGCCAAAAGGCATGTGGGAGACTCCCCAAACATATGGAAAAAGGCACTCTGGTCAGATGAGTCTAAAATTGAGCTTTTTGGCCATCAAGGAAATCGCTATGTCTGGCGCAAACCCAACACCTCTCATCACCCCGAGAACACCAACCCCACAGTGAAGCACGGTGGTGGCAGCATCATGCTGTGGGGATGTTTTTCTTAGGGACTGGGAAACTGGTCAGAATTGAAGGAATGATGGATGGCGCTAAATACAAGGAAATTCTTGAGGGAAACCTGTTTCAGTCTTCCAGAGATTTGAGACTGGGACGGAGGTTCACCTTCCAGCAGGACAATGACCCTAAGCATACTGCTAAAGCAACACTCGAGTGGTTTAAGGGGAAACATTTAAATGTCTTGGAATGGCCTAGTCAAAGCCCAGACCTCAATCCAATTGAGAATCTGTGGTATGACTTAAAGATTGCTGTACACCTACGGAACCCATCCAACTTGAAGGAGCTGGAGCAGTTTTGCCTTGAAGAATGGGCAAAAATCCCAGTGGCTAGATGTGCCAAGCTTATAGAGACATACCCCAAGAGACTTGCAGCTGTAATTGCTGCAAAATGTGGCTCTACAAAGTATTGAATAGTTATGCACGCTCATGTTTTTTGTTTTTTTGTCTTATTTCTTATTTGTTTCACAATAAAAAATATTTTGCATCTTCAAAATGTTGTGTAAATCAAATGATACAAACCACCCAAAAATCCATTTTAATTCCAGGTTGTAAGGCAACAAAATAGGAAAAATGCCAAGGGGGGTGAATACTTTCGCAAGCCACTGTAACAGGGATGTAAACAAATTTGTGCACCACATTTTTGAGAAATACGTTATAGAAAATGTCTGGCCTTGTTTTAGGTTATCGTCCTGCTGAAAGACACACCTGGTTCCCCCTGATTAGTATGCGTATGCCCTCTTTTCCCCCTTCTCGATTATTGTCCCTCATTGGCTCATTGGTCTCGTGAGAGCATTGCATTCTTTGACAAACACAGAAAGACACTTGTCTAGTGGGCAGGGGGGGAAACACTTGAAATGCACTCATTTGAAATATGCAATTAGACTGTTATGAATCAAATCAAAATGTTATTGGTCACATACACATATTTAGAAGATGTTATTGCTGGTGTAGTGAAATGCTTGTCAAAGTTGTTTAGGAGATAGAAGTAGAGATGCCATGTCTGTTGGCGCCATGTAAACCAATGGTCATCTATAAGACATTTATTCATTGATTTTCTTCTTTGTCTAATATACACGTAGTTGCCAGTTTATTAGGTACACCCATCTAGTACCGGGTCGGACCCCACTTTGCCTCCAGAACAGCCTAAATTCTTAAGGTCATGGAATCTAGGGCGGCAGGTAGCTTAGTGGTTAAGAGCGTTGTGCCAGTAACCGAAAGGTCGCTCGTTCTAATCCCTGAGCCGACTAGGTGAAAAATCTGTCGATGTGCCCTTGAGCAAGGCACTTAACCCTAATTGCTCCTGTAAGTCGCTCTGGATAAGAGCGTCTGCTAAATGACCTATTATTATATCTTTATTTATTTTTTTTTATTCTGATTTTTCAGAATGTCTCTCTCTAAGTAGGTAAAATAACAGCTATGTACATGTGTCATTGTGTGTGTCTCTGTCTAAGTAGGTAAAGAACATGTATAGACAGCCAGGCACTTACAGTATATTTGCAATATAAGTAGTTAGGATTTGATAAGGTTTTGTGAGCCAATAGTCAACTATTAGGCATGTATTCATTCATCTTTCTAACTTTCTTCTTTATCTAATAAATGTCTTTATTCATTCACAACTAGGATGTTGCTGGTCCCAGTACAGGCAGTGTGGTCCCCTGGTCTTCTGGTACCAGTGCTGAGGGAAAGGATGCTAGGCTTTACAGAGACAGCTCAGAGGGGAGTGCTGCACTAAACCCCCAGTGTTGATACAATATAACAAGTACAGCTGCACTAAACCCCCAGTGTTGATATAATATAACAAGTACAGCTGCACTAAACCCCCAGTGTTGATATAATATAACAAGTACAGCTGCACTAAAACCCCCAGTGTTGATATAATATAACAAGTACAGCTGGCACAAACCCCCCAGTGTTGATATAATATAACAAGTACAGCTTCACTAAACCCCCAGTGTTGATATAATATAACAAGTACAGCTGCACTAAACCCCCAGTGTTGATATAATATAACAAGTACAGCTGCACTAAACCCCCAGTGTTGATATATATAACAAGTTACAAAGCTGCACTAAACCCCTATGTTGATAAATATAACAAGAAAGGGTGCACTAAACCCCTTGGTTATAAATTACCAAAATTTACAGCTCCCCAAAACCCCCAGGTTGATATAATAAACAAGTACGCTGCACAAAACCCCCCAGTGTTGATAAAATAAAAACAAGCGCGCACTAAACCCCCAGTGTTGAATAATAAAAAAGGGTACAGTGCACAAACCCCCGGGGTTTTTGTTTAAAATATAAAAGTACAGCTCCCCAAAAACCCCATTTGTTGTATAAACAAGTACAGCTGCAAAAAACCCCCATTTGATATAATATAACAAGTACAGCTGCAAAAACCTCCAGTGTTGATATAATAAAACAAAAAGGCACTAAAACCCCGGTGGGTTTAAAATAAAAACAAGGACGCGGCATAAACCCCCGTTTTTTGTATAAAAAAAAAGAAGCTGCACAAAACCCCCCCGGGTTGTATAATAAAACCCAAGAAAAGCTCACTAAACCCCCAGTGTTGTTTTTAAATAACAAGTAAGTGCACTAAACCCCCGGGTGTTTTTAAATATAACAATACAGCGACCAACCCCCCCCAGTGTTGAAAAAAAACAAGTACAGCGCCCAAAAACCCCCAGTGTTGAATAATTAAAAAAGTACAGGCATAAACCCCCGTGTTGATAATAAATTTACAGCTGCACAAAACCCCCAGGTTTTGAAAATAAAAAAGTCAGGCACAAAACCCCCGTGTGAATAATTAAAACAATTTAGCTGCATAACCCCAAGTGTTGAACAATATAACAAGTACAGGCACTAAACCCCCCAGTGTGATATAATAAAAACAAAAACCCCCAAGTTTTATTTTCGGACCCAATAAAAGGAACCTTCCTTGGAAGGAAATGGTTTTTGTTTTTCCCGGAGCAAACAATCATCAACTTGCGTTTTTTTGGCTGGTAAGCAAAAAGCAACAAGGGAAAAAGCGGGGGGGGAAAAGGAAATAGTTTCGGGTTTTAAAGGGGGGGGGTTGGGGGGGAGGGGGGAAAAGTTTTGTGGACTAATGTGGTAGTTCCATTTCTTGAAAGTTAGCGATTCGTTAGCAACAGACTATTTTGAGCACATTGTCAGCATTCAGCCAGCTGCCCCTCTCCTTGCTCGGGCAGGTTTCGGCGTTCGTCGTCAACGGCCTTACTGGCCAATACCGCTCCTTTATCATCACTCCATTTGTCTTGTCTTGTCGTGTCTTGTTCAATCACACACACCTGGTACTCATTACCTCATTAGTTCTAGTGTTCTCTTTGTCCTTTGAGAGTGATTGTTCATGTTGAGAGTGAGTAGCTCGGTTTTGAGCTACTCTTTCCTTGTATGTAGCCAAGGTGGATTTTTCCTTGTGCTAGTTTTCGTTTTGACGCTTGCTGCGCTTATTCGTGTACACTGAATAAACTCTGGATTTCGGTTTTTTTTGTTTTACCTCCTGCACGCCCCCCATTCCCCAACCTCATCACACACCATAAAAGGCCTTTCATAATTCATAAAGGTCATGTAACTGACTGGATATTATCTCACAGAACAAAACTATAAGTTCTCCAAAGCCTGTGTACCTATCCCAAACAACCTTATTTCCCCCCTTCATTTCTCCCATTGCAACGGCCAACGAACCAGAGGTAGAAAATGCTGCCTCCTTTCAGTTTTTTAGGACTACAAGCTGGCGAGCTCTATAGGATAGAATATATATCTAAAGAGCTGATGGTCTCATCATGTCCTGTAGGGGGACCTCTATCTTTAATAATGGGAACGTCTCTACAGTCTGAACCAGTCATTTGCATGATGTATTCAGATCATCAGTGTCCCTCCCACTTCACTGACATGTTCAATATGGTGAAACCTGCCGTGGGTCTACTGATTGTCATCTATTCATCTATGTGACACTCCTCTTTTATTCTGTACATTGATACCAGACTCTTTCCAGCACTCTCACATATAACGTGATCAAACATGTTCACATTTCTCTTCACTGTTACTGTCTTAGTGCTTTGTGCTGCAGGTACAGTTTCATAATGTTTCATTTATTTAACCAGGAAAGTTAAGAACTACATTCTTATTTACAATGACGGCCTTCTATAGTTATAGATATTGGTGTTTCCAAGCATACGTTCACTTCACCTGAGTCTTGATGTATTCAGGTCTAACTGTATCTAACTCTATTGATTTCATTCTCACTGTATCCTTACAGGTCTTGTTGAGGGGAGTGAAGTCACTCAGACACCCACCATACTCTGGGGACTGAAAGACAGTGATGCTCAGATTAACTGCAGTCACACTAAGGGTGTAAACTACTACCAGATGTACTGGTACAGACAGCGTCCAGGAGAGGGAATAAAGCAGGTTGCCCTCACTACTCCCAATTCCAAATCTGAGTATTCAGAGGATTTCAGTGAAGACAAATATCCAACTGTTAAGACAGATGCTGAGAGTGGATCTTTCACAGTGAAGAAGGTGGAGGCAGGAGACAGCGGCATGTACTTCTGTGCCGTGTATGAACACAGTGATACAGATGACAAGCACAGCTGCACAAAAACCCCAGAGTTTCAATAGGATGGAATATAATATGTAAAGAGATGGTCTCATCACGTACTGTAGGGGGACCTCTAACACTAGTTCTTCTAATGTCTGATGGTTTCATTGTCATGATCATGTAATCAGTCATGTTCACAGTGACGGGGTCCTATGAGCAAGCTTACAGTACAGGCTGTCCTGACACTTCCCTCTAAACACTCTCCACTATCACCCACCCTAAGGAAAAGGATACTACAACATCAAGCCCCTCTCCTTTTCACCTCGAGGCTTCATCCAGGAGACAACTTCAGATCACTCCTCCACTGAGGCATCCTCATCATCAATCATCCTTCCTCCGCATCTTCCTCATCAATCATCTTCTCCACTTTTTTTCTCCTCCATCATCATGTTCCAGAGTTCTGATTCACCTGGGCAACGCCTCTACACTCTTGGTGACCAGGTATTAAATCACTTTACGATGAGAAGCATAACAAAAATCTACGAATGTCATCAAAAGGAATGAAAGATCATCTCTCATCTATCCTGCTTTCTCTCTATGAGAGTGCTAGATCTATAGAGTCTCTCTCTCTCCTCTCATAGCTCGATATTATATCTAATATCGCTATCTCTCTCTCTAGATCTAGCAGAGAGCTCATGCTCTCTCTCTCTGCTCTTCTCTCTTCTCTCTCTCTCTCTCTCTCTTCCACAGGAGAGTCGTTTAGTAGCATGGTTAATCAGAGCCCTGGTTGCACTAATAGAAGGACTGGGAAGAACGTTCAACTCACCTGCAGCCATAATATTCCTAACTACCAAATTATACTATGGTACCAACAGTCAGCAGGAGACACTGCTATGAAACTCATTGGTTATGTATATGTCCAGTCAGTAACCTTGGAGTCACCACTTGAAAAGCACTTCAATGTGAGTGGAGACGGTAGGAAAGAGGCTTCCCTTCATCTCCTGAGTCTGAGAGGACCAGAAGACAGTGCAGTTTATTACTGTGCAGCCAGCCAACACAGTGATGTAGAGCACCCACTCTCCTCTACAAAAACCCCTTCTGATCATTTAACTATATGTCCCCAACTGCAGTGTACATCAACACCCAGCACACCTGCTATCCACCGCTGTAGATGTCTGAGCACATGGAGGAAGTTGATATCAAACCTCTATACCAAATAATGTGGTTGATGTTTTTGCTTTGAAGAAACGGTTGAGGTATTTCTTCAAATTACAGCCTATTTGGTAGTGTGATTACTGCAGAATCTAAAACATAGGTAAACTCTAAAGACTAAAAAATACAAATACTTTCAATGATGTAGATACGGGTATGTTCCACAATACACCCTTAAGTTGAACATGAGACCTGTAGGTGAACAAGGTATCTGCTTGAATATCAACATAAATTCTGACGTCAAAGTGATGTCATTTCCTTCCCCTCCGGCAGCTCAGTTCAGCTCACCGTCTCTATTGACTTATTTCCTCTCACCCCTATGGACTCTGGTCTAAAGTAGTGCACTATAAAGGGAATAGGGTGCCATTTGGGATGCAGTATACATTTGACACTCCCACTAGCTGACAACACATCTCTGACTATCTGAAAACCCTTTCTCCTTGTCCATGTGACACTTCTCTCCAGAACCATCTCAACATGATCACGCTCCTCATACAAGTAGCAACTCTACTACTATGGGTGACAGGTACTAAGTCCCTCATGAAATATATATTTACTACTGAAGTATATTGCTACTGTATATTTCATATTGTCTGTTTTCATCCACAGGGCTGTCACAAACAGACAAAGTTTACCAGACTCCTACTGAAATACTAAAAAGACCTGAAGATAAAGTTCAGCTCAGCTGCAGCCACAATGATCCAAACTACTACATGATACTGTGGTACCAACAGTCAGCCCAAAACACTGCTCTGAAACTCATTGGGTATGTGAGAAACACCAGTCCAACGGTGGAAGATTCCTTTAAAGAGCGGTTTAATGTGAGTGGAGATGCTGCAACTGGGAATACGGTGTATCTACATATTCCCAAACTGAGAGAAGCTGAAGACAGTGCAGTGTATTTCTGTGCTGCTAGTTCAGCACAGTGTTTCACTATACCCTCTCTCCTCTACAAAAACCCTCTCTGATCCTCTCATATAATACTGACTACAGCTCTATACACCTGCACCTGTCTTCAACCACTTCAACAACACTTTGCTATGAACCATTTGATATCAAACAGATGGTAATGATACTGTTATAAGTGGCTAGTTTAGATGGTGTAGGTGCACTTCCTCAGTTCTCCAGCAGGAGGAGGTGTATAGTGGCACTCTATGGGCCCTGTTCAAAGGTAGTGCCCTATATAGGGAATAGGGGGTCACTTGGGATGTAAAAGCTTTCTAAATGTGTGTGTGGGTCTGGCTCGCCCTACCGTACCTCTTCGCCCTTCCAAATAAAATATTGAAATATTTATAATTATTTGACCAAGAAGCACACCAGAAAGACGTACCTCCCCTAGGGGGCCTGGCTCACCCTACCGTACCACACCAACAGAAGTACGCATCAATCTCAGATAAAGCATCTTATCGAGCGAAACAGCGCCCCTCTGTCTCCGTATGTGTAGACCATGTATCTGATGCTGTCTGGACAAAAGGAGTATGGCATGTCATACTTTATCTGGCCAGACAGCATCAGATACAAATCTAATCAAATCTAATCTAATTTTATTGGTCACATGCGCCGAATACAACAGGTGCAGACAGTACAGTGAAATGCTTACTTACAGCCCTTAACCAACAGTGCATTTATTTTAAACAAAAAAAGTAAAAATGAAACAACAACAAAAAAAAGTGTTGAGAAAAAAAAGAGCAGAAGTAAAATAAAGTGACAGTAGGGAGGCTATATATACAGGGGGGGTACCGTTGCAGAGTCAATGTGCGGGGGCACCGGCTAGTTGAGGTAGTTGAGGTAATATGTACATGTGGGTAGAGTTAAAGTGACTATGCATAAATACTTAACAGAGTAGCAGCAGCGTAAAAAGGATGGGGTGGGGGGGCAGTGCAAATAGTCCGGGTAGCCATGATTAGCTGTTCAGGAGTCTTATGGCTTGGGGGTAGAAGCTGTTGAGAAGTCTTTTGGACCTAGACTTGGCACTCCGGTACCGCTTGCCGTGCGGTAGCAGAGAGAACAGTCTGTGACTAGGGTGGCTGGAGTCTTTGACAATTTTGAGGGCCTTCCTCTGACACCGCCTGGTATAGAGGTCCTGGATGGCAGGAAGCTTTGCCCCAGTGATGTACTGGGCCGTACGCACTACCCTCTGTAGTGCCTTGTGGTCGGAGGCCAAGCAGTTGCCATACCAGGCGGTGATGCAACCAGTCAGGATGCTCTCGATGGTGCAGCTGTAGAATTTGTTGAGGATCTGAGGACCCATTCCAAATCTTTTTAGTCTCCTGAGGGGGAATAGGCTTTGTCGTGCCCTCTTCACGACTGTCTTGGTGTGTTTGGACCATGATAGTTCGTTGGTGATGTGGACACCAAGGAACTTGAAGCTCTCAACCTGTTCCACTACAGCCCCGTCGATGAGAATGGGGGTGTGCTCAGTCCTCTTTTTTTTCCTGTAGTCCACAATCATCTCCTTTGTCTTGGTCACGTTGAGGGAGAGGTTGTTGTCCTGGCACCACACGGCCAGATCTCTGACCTCCTCCCTATAGGCTGTCTCATCGTTGTCGGTGATCAGGCCTACCACTGTTGTGTCGTCGGCAAACTTAATGATGGTGTTGGAGTCGTGCCTGGCCATGCAGTCATGGGTGAACAGAGAGTACAGGAGGGGACTGAGCACGCACCCCTGAGGGGCCCCCGTGTTGAGGATCAGTGTGGCAGATGTGTTGTTACCTACCCTTACCACCTGGGGGCGGCCCGTCAGGAAGTCCAGGATCCAGTTGCAGAGGGAGGTGTTTAGTCCCAGGATCCTTAGCTTAGTGATGAGCTTAGAGGGCACTATGGTGTTGAATGCTGAGCTGTAGTCAATGAATAGCATTCTCACGTAGGTGTTCCTCTTGTCCAGGTGGGAAAGGGCAGTGTGGAGTGCAATAGAGATTGCATCATCTGTGGATCTGTTGGGGCGGTATGCAAATTGGAGTGGGTCTAGGGTTTCTGGGATAATGCTGTTGATGTGAGCCATGACCAGCCTTTCAAAGCACTTCATGGCTACAGACGTCAGTGCTACGGGTCGGTAGTCATTTAGGCAGGTTATCTTAGAGTCCTTGGGCACGGGGGACTATGGTGGTCTGCTTGAAACATGTTGGTATTACAGACTCAGTCAGGGACATGTTGGAAATGTCAGTGAAGACACTTGCCAGTTGGTCAGCACATGCTCGGAGTACACGTCCTGGTAATCCGTCTGGCCCTGCGGCCTTGTGAATGTTGACCTGCTTAAAAGTCTTACTCACATCGGCTACGGAGAGCGTGATCACATAGTCATCCGGAACAGCTGGTGCTCTCATGCATGCTTCAGTGTTGCTTGCCTCGAAGCGAGCATAGAAGTGGTTTAGCTCGTCTGGTAGGCTTGTGTCACTGGGCAGCTCGCGGCTGTGCTTCCCTTTTGTAGTCTGTAATAGTTTTCAAGCCCTGCCACATCAGACGAGCGTCAGAGCCAGTGTAGTACGATTCAATCTTAGACCTGTATTGACTCTTTGCCTGTTTGATGGTTCGTCGGAGGTCATAGCGGGATTTCTTATAAGCGTCCGGGTTAGAGTCCCGTTCCTTGAAAGCGGCAGCTCTACCCTTTAGCTCAGTGCGGATGTTTCCTGTAATCCATGGCTTCTGGTTGGGGTATGTACGTACGGTCACTGTGGGGATGACATCATCGATGCACTTATTCATGAAGCCAGTGACTGATGTGGTGTACTCCTCAATGCTGTCTGAAGAATCCCGGAACATGTTCCAGTCTGTGCTAGCAAAACAGTCCTGTAGCTTAGCATCTGCGTCATCTGACCACTTTTTTATTAACCGAGTCACTGGTGCTTCCTGCTTTAGTTTTTTGCTTATAAGCAGGAATCAGGAGGATAGAGTTATGGTCAGATTTGCCAAATGGAGGGCGAGGGAGAGCTTTGTATGCGTCTCTGTGTGTGGAGTAAAGGTGGTCTAGAGTTTTTTTCCCTCTGGTTGCACATTTAACATGCTGGTAGAAATTAGGTAGAACGGATTTAAGTTTCCCTGCATTAAAGTCCCCGGCCACTAGGAGCGCTGCATCTGGATGAGCGTTTTCCTGTTGATTAATGGCCTTGTACAACTCATTCAGTGCAATCTTAATACCAGCATTGGTTTGTGGTGGTAAATAGACAGCTATGAAAAATATAGATGAAAACTCTCTTGGTAAATAGTGTGGTCTACAGCTTATCATAAGATACTCTAACTCAGGCGAGCAAAACCTCGAGACTTCCTTAGTATTTGGTTTTGTGCACCAGCTGTTGTTTACAAATATACACAGACCGCCACCCCTTGTCTTACTGGAGTCCGCCGTTCTGTCCTGCCGATGTAGCGTATAGCCTGCTAGCTGAATGTTATCATTGTCGTCGTTCAGCCACGACTCGGTGAAACATAATATATTACAGTTTTTAATGTCCCGTTGGTAGGATAACCGTAATCTTAAATCGTCCACTTTATTTTCAAAAGATTGAACGTTGGCTAATAGGATTGATGGAAGAGGCAGTTTACTCGCTCGCCGTCGAATCCTTACAAGGCACCCCGATCTGCGTCCACGATATCTCCGTCTCTTCTTCACGCGAATGACGGGGATTTGTGCCTTGTCGGGTGTCTGTATGATATCCTTCGCGGCCGCCTCGTTGAAGAAAAAATATTCGTCCAATACGAGGTGAGTAATCGCTGTCCTGATATCCAGAAGCTCTTTTTGGTTATAAGAGACGATGGCAGAAACATTATGTACAAAATAAATTACAAATAACGCGGAAAAACACACATAATAGTACAATTGGTTAGAGGGCTGTAAAACGGCAGCCATCTTCTCCGGCGCTGTTGCATAAATTATCAAGGGCTACATACTGTATTGAGTGTGTGAGCATTGGTGCATTAGTGTGTGTGTATGTGTGTATGTGAAGAGTGTCAGGGTCAGTGTGTGGCTGAGTGGTAGAGACCTGAGGATGGCTGAGTGGTAGAGACCTGAGGATGGCTGAGTGGTAGAGACCTGAGGATGGCTGAGTGGTAGAAACCTGAGGATGGCTGAGTGGTAGAGACCTGAGGATGGCTGAGTGGTAGAGACCTGAGGATGGCTGAGTGGTAGAGACCTGAGGATGGCTGAGTGGTAGAGACCTCAGGATGGCTGAGTGGTAGAGACCTGAGGATGGCTGAGTGGTAGAGACCTGAGGATGGCTGAGTGGTAGAGACCTGAGGATGGCTGAGTGGTGGAGACCTGAGGATGGCTGAGTGGTGGAGACCTGAGGATGGCTGAGTGGTAGAGACCTGAGGATGGCTGAGTGGTAGAGACCTGGGGATGGCTGAGTGGTAGAGACTTGAGGATGGCTGAGTGGTAGAGACCAGAGGATATACAGTCCCATCGGAAAGTATTCACACCCCTTAACTTTTTACACAATTTGTTACATTACAGCCTTATTCTAAAATGGATTAAATAAAAAATATTCAGCAATCTACACACATTTCCCCATAATGACAAAGCGAAAACAGGCTTTTAGAAATTGTTGTAAAATGTATTACAAATTAAAAACAGAAATACATAGAACACTATGTAAAATCTGAGGAAACCAGGCCTGCTATTCATAGCAGACTTCGAAAAGGCATTTGATAAAGTACGACTGGGGTTTATATATAAATGCCTGGAGCGTTTCAATTTAGGAGAATCTCTTATAAAAGGGGTCAAAATCATGTATAGTAACCCTAGGTGTAAAATAGTAAATAATGGCTATTTCTCAGAGAGTTTTAAACTGTCAAGAGGAGTGAAACAAGGTTGTCCACTATCGGCATATCTATTTATTGTGGCCATCGAGATGTTAGCTATTAAAATCAGATCCAACAATAATATCAGGGGATTAGAAATCCAGGGCTTAAAAACAAAGGTGTCATTGTACGCTGATGATTCATGTTTTCTTTTAAATCCACAACTAGAATCCCTCCACAGCCTCATAGAGGATCTAGATACATTTGCTAACCTCTCTGGATTACAACAAAATTATGACAAATGTACTATATTACGTATTTGATCACTAAAAAATAAAAAATGTACATTACCATGTAGTTTACCAATAAAATGGTCTGATGGTGATGTGGATATACTCGGAATACATATCCCAAAGGAAATAAATGATCTCACTTCAATAAATGTTAATAGAAATTTAGCAAAAATAGACAAGATCTTACTACCATGGAAAGGTAAATACCTGTCAATTTGTGGAAAAATCACCCTGATTAACTCTTTAGTGTTATCCCAGTTTACCTATTTGCTTATGGTCTTGCCTATGCCTAGCGAACAGTTTTTTAAATTATATGAGAAAAAAATATTCAATTGTATTTGGAACGGCAAGCCAGACAAAATTAAAAGAGCATATTTAAATAATGAATATGAATTCGGAGGACAGAAAGGATTAAATATTAAAGCATTAGACCTATCACTAAAAGCTTCAGTCATACAAAAGTTATACTTAAATCCGAACTGGTTCTCTAGCAAATTAGTAAGATTGTCTCACCCAATGTTCAAGAATGGCCTTTTTCCCTTTATTCAGATTACAACCACTCACTTTCAGTTATTTGAAAAGGAAATCATCTCCCAAATATCACTATTTCTAAAACAAGCCATAGAAAGTTGGTTGCAATTTCAATTTAATCCTCCAGAAACGACAGAACAAATAATGCAACAAATATTGTTGTTAAACTCAAATATACTAATTGACAAAATAATACAATCTTCCCAGCTCTGCAGATTTTGCTGCGAAGAGACAGAATCATTAGATCATTTGTTTTGGTACTGTCCATTTGTAGCTTGTTTTTGGACACAGGTCCAGGAATGGCTAAAGGATTGCAATATTTACCTGGAGCTAACCTTGCAGATAGCATTACTGGGTGATCTGAAAAGTCCTAGTCAATCGATCAATAACACAATAATACTTTTAGCAAAAAAAAATATTTTCCATTCACAATCTGTAGAAACAATGAGAATAGAAAGGTTCAGAACTTTGTTAAGACATCACAGTACAGTTGAAATATATATGGCAAATAGAAATCCAATATGGATGGTGTTAAGAGATAGATGGGAGGTGTTGAATGAAATTGAAGGATGGGACTAATAACAACTAACAACAAATAATAACAAGATAACTAATAATGTAAGCATACTGTGTCCATAATAAGTATATAGGTTGTATGTTTGGAGCTTTTGGGAAAGAGCACAGTTAGAAAGATATGGCATATAGAAGCAAACCGGATGGACATCATGAAAACGATCGGAGGGGTTGAGAGTAGAAGAAGTTCAGGAGAAAAAACAAACAAAATATAATTATTGTAAAATTGACTGTGTCCATAAAATGTAGATAGTATGTATAAGCTGGAAGTAGAGGCCTGGGCATTGTTTTTCACTAGTTTACCCCAAGTAGGGAAAGGGTGGTGGGGTTGGAAAGTAATAAAGGGGAGTATATATATATATATATATTTTTAAGCATATGTATGTGAATGTATGTATGTATGTGTGTATATATGTGTGTGTATATATATATATGTGTATATGTATGTATATATATATGTATATGTATGTGTATGTATGTATATAAAAAATAAAATAAAAAACGTATTTACATACAGTGATGATGAATTACCATAATCTACAGTGGGGAGAACAAGTATTTGATACACTGCCAATTTTGCAGGTTTTCCTACTTACAAAGCATGTAGAGGTCTGTAATTTTGATCATAGGTACACTTCAACTGTGAGAGACGGAATCTAAAACAAAAATCCAGAAAATCACATTGTATTATTTTTAAGTAATTAATTTGCATTTTCTTTCATTGTCATGATCATGTAATCAGTCATGTTCACAGTGAGGTCCTATGAGCAAGCTTTACAGTACAGGCTTCCTGCCACTCCCTCTAACACTCTCACTATCCACCACCCTAAAGGAAACAGGATACTACAACATCAGCCCCTCTCCTTTCACCTCAGAGCTTCATCCAGGAGACACTCATATCACTCCTCCACTGAGGAATCCTCATCATCATCGTCTTCCTCCGCATCTTCATCATCATCATCTTCTCCTTCATCATCATGTTCAGAGTTCTGATTCACCTGGCAGCTCTACCACTCTGGGTGACAGGTATTACATGACTTACGATGAGAAGCCTTACAAATCTACCAATGTCATCAAACTGAATAAAATATCCTCCTCTCTCCTTCTCTCTCTCTCTCCCCAAAACCCCCCTCCCTGGGGCCCTTTTTAAAAAATTTTTCCCCCTTTCCCCTTTCCCCCAAAAAAGGGAAAAAAAAAAAAAAATTTTTTTAATTATGGAAAAAATTAAAAAAAGAAAAAAAAAAGGGGGTTTTTTTTTCCTTTTTTCCCCCAAAAAGGGGGGGAAAGGGGTTTTGGAAAAAAAAAGGGGGTTTTTTTTAAAAATTTTAAGCAAAAAGGGGAAATTAGAAAACCTTTTTTTTAAAATTTTTAAATTTTCTTTTAATAAATTTTTAGGATTTGATATAAAAATAAAAAAAAAATTTCCCCCCTTTTTTTAAATTAATTCTACTGGGGCAAGTTTTGTTTAAACCCCCTTTCGGTTTTCCAAAAAAACCATGAAAGGGTTTTTTTTAACCTTTAACGGGGAAAAAACCCCTCCCAAAAATAAATTTTTTTTTTAAAAATTTTTTTTTTTTCCCAATTAACCGTCACGTAGGCCATACAACTTTACCCCCCTTCCTACTCCCAACCCCCTTTTTCCCCACCACCCAAAGGGCAACCCCTTTCCCCCTTTTTCCCCCCCCGGGGAAATTTTTCCCACACCCCAAAAAATTTTTTTCCCCCCTTAAAATTTTTTTTTTCCCCCATTAAGCGACCCCTTTTTTACATTTTTTTAAAAAATTCTTTAAAACCCCCCTTTTCAAACTACCCCCCTTTTTCCCCCTTTTTTCCCCCGGGGTTAATTCCCCCCCCCCCAAAAAAAATTAAAATTTCCCCCCCCCCCCTTTTAATTGTTTTTTCTGTTTTCTTTTTCCCCCTTTTTTTTCCTCTCCCCCCTTTCCTCTCTTTTCCCCCCAGGGAGTTTTAGTAGCTGGAAAAGAGCCCTTTGCACTAATAGAAGGAGGGGAAAACGTTTTTTTCCCCTGAACAACTGTTCCAAACTCAAACGGGGGGAAAAGTTTTGAGAAGACACAAGTATTGTTTCACAAAATTTGTCTTATTGTTATGAATATTTTTGTCAGATGTAAAAGCTTTCCATAAGTGTCAAAGGCTTTAATTGACAATTACATTAAGTTTATGCAAAGAGTCAATATTTTCAGTGTTGACCCTTCTTTTTCAAGACTTCTGCAATCCACCCTGGCATGCTGTCAATTAACTTCTGGGCCACATCCTGACTGATGGCAGCCCATTCTTGCATAATCAATGCTTGGAGTTTGTCAGAATTTGTGGGGTTTTTTTTGTCCACCCGCCTCTTGAGGATCGACCACAAGTTCTCAATGGGATTAAGGTGTGGGGAGTTTCCTGGCCATGGACCCAAAATGTTGATGTTTTGTTCCCCGAGCCACTTAGTTATCACTTTCGCCTCATGGCAAGGTGCTCCATCATGCTGGAAAAGGCATTGGTCGTCACCAAACTGTTCTTGGATGGTTGGGAGAAGTTGCTCTCGGAGGATGTGTTGGTACCATTCTTTATTCATGGCTGTGTTCTTAGGCAAAATTGTGAGTGAGCCCACTCCCTTGGCTGAGAAGCAACCCCACACATGAATGGTCTCAGGATGCTTTACTGTTGGCATGACACAGGACTGATGATAGTGCTCACCTTGTCTTCTCCGGACAAGCTTTTTTCCCGGATGCCCCAAACAATCGGAAAGGGGATTCATCAGAGAAAATGACTTTACCCCAGTCCTCAGCAGTCCAATTGCCCTGTACCTTTTGCAGAATATCAGTCTGTCCCTGATGTTTTTCCTGGAGAGAAGTGGCTTCCTCGCTGCCCTTCTTGACACCAGGCCATCCTCCAAAAGTATTCGCCTCACTGTGCGTGCAGATGCACTCACACCTGCCTGCTGCCATTCCTGAGCAAGCTCTGGACTGGTGGTGCCCCGATCCTGCAGCTGAATCAACTTTAGGAGACGGTCCTGGCGCTTGCTGGACTTTCTTGGGCGCCCTGATGCCTTCTTTACAACAATTGAACCTCTCTCCTCGAAGTTCTTGATGATCCGATAAATGGTTGATTTAGGTACAATCTTACTAGCAGCAATATCCTTGCCTGTGAAGCCCTTTTTGTGGAAAGCAATGATGACGGCACGTGTTTCCTTGCAGGTAACCATGGTTAACAGAGGAAGAACAATGATTTCAAGCACCACCCTCCTTTTAAAGCTTCCAGTCTGTTATTCTAACTCAATCAGCATGACAGAGTGATCTCCAGCCTTGTCCTCGTCAACACTCTCACCTGTGTTAACGAGAGAATCACTGACATGATGTCAGCTGGTCCTTTTGTGGCAGGGCTGAAATGCAGTGGAAATGTTTTTTGGGGATTAAGTTCATTTTCATGGCAAAGAGGGACTTTGCAATTAATTGCAATTCATCTGATCACTCTTCATAACATTATGGAGTATATGCAAATTGCCATCATAAAAACTGAGGCAGCAGACTTTGTGAAAATTAATATATGTGTAATTCTCAAAACTTTTGACCACGACTGTACAAGCTGGCGAGCTCTATAGGTTAGAATATAATATCTAAAGAGCTGATGGTCTCATCATGTCCTGTAGGGGGACCTCTATCTTTAATAATGGGAACGTCTCTACAGTCTGAACCAGTCATTTGCATGATGTATTCAGATCATCAGTGTCCCTCCCACTTCACTGACATGTTCAATATGGTGAAACCTGCCGTGGTCTACTGATTGTCATCTATTCATCTATGTGACACTCCTCTTTTATTCTGTACATTGATACCAGACTCTTTCCAGCACTCTCACATATAACGTGATCAAACATGTTCACATTTCTCTTCACTGTTACTGTCTTAGTGCTCTGTGCTGCAGGTACAGTTTCATAATGTTTCATTTATTTAACCAGGAAAGTTAAGATCAAAATTCTTATTTACAATGACGGTCAACTATAGTTATAGATATTGATGTTTCCAAGCATACGTTCACTTCACCTGAGTCTTGATGTATTCAGGTCTAACTGTATCTAACTCTATTGATTTCATTCTCACTGTATCCTTACAGGTCTTGTTGAGGGGAGTGAAGTCACTCAGACACCCACCATACTCTGGGGACTGAAAGACAGTGATGCTCAGATGAACTGCAGTCACACTAAGGGAGCTACCTACTTCCAGATGTACTGGTACAGACAGCGTCCAGGAGAGGGAATGAAGCAGGTAGCCTTCACTACTCCCAATTCCAAATCGGAGTATTCAGGGGATTTCAGTGAAGACAAATATCCAACTGTTAGGAATGCAGCTGAGAGTGGATCTTTCACAGTGAAGAAGGTGGAGGCAGGAGACAGCGGCATGTACTTCTGTGCTGTGAGTGAACACAGTGATACAGACGACAAGCACAGCTGCACAAAAACCCCAGAGTTTCAATAGGATGGAATATAATATGTAAAGAGATGGTCTCATCACGTACTGTAGGGGGACCTCTAACTCTAGTTCTTCTAATGTCTGATGGTTTCATTGTCATGATCATGTAATCAGTCATGTTCACAGTGAGGTCCTATGAGCAAGCTTTACAGTACAGGCTTCCTGACACTCCCTCTAACACTCTCACTATCCACCACCCTAAAGGAAACAGGATACTACAACATCAGCCCCTCTCCTTTCACCTCAGAGCTTCATCCAGGAGACACTCATATCACTCCTCCACTGAGGCTTCCTCATCATCATCGTCTTCCTCAGCATCTTCATCATCATCATCTTCTCCTTCATCATCATGTTCAGAGTTCTGATTCACCTGGCAGCTCTACCACTCTGGGTGACAGGTATTAAATCACTTACGATGAGAAGCCTAACAAATCTACGAGATGTCATCAAACTGAATAAAATATCCTCTCTCTCACTCCTTCTCTCCTCTCTCTCTCTCCTCTCTCTCTCTCTCTCTCCTCTCTCTCCTCTCTCTCTCTCTCTCTCTCTCTCTCTCTCTCTCTCTCTCTCTCTCTCTCTCTCTCTCTCCCCCTCTCTCTCTCTCTCTCTCTCTCTCTCTCCCTCTCTCTCTCTCTCTCTCTCCACAGGAGAGTCGTTTAGTAGCATGGTTAATCAGAGCCCTGTTGCACTAATAGGAGGACCTGGAAGAAACGTTCAACTCACCTGCAGCCATACTATTCCTAACTACCGAATGATACTATGGTACCAACAGTCAGCAGGAGACACTGCTATGAAACTCATTGGTTATGTAAATGTCCAGTCAATAACCTTGGAGTCACCACTTGAAAAGCACTTCAATGTGAGTGGAGATGGTAGGAAAGAGGCTCATCTTCATCTCCTGAGTCTGAGAGGACCTGAAGACAGTGCAGTTTATTACTGTGCAGCCAGCCAACACAGTGATGTAGAGCACCCACTCTCCTCTACATAAACCCTATCTGATAGTAGTATTAGCACACTGCTCAGAACACCTGCATCTGAGGTGTGACTTTGATTCAGTGCCAATGAATAAACACAGATGGAATATGACATAAGCAAGGTGAAATCTGTCCTAGTACAGAACACTGGTATTACAGTTAGTGTCAACACTCATTAACATCAATTATGCAACGTTACAATGTCATATTCCATTACTCCTCCCCTGCATAGATTTGATTCACATGACTACTCCCCCCCCCCCTCTTCCCCACCTCCCACATCTCTCTCTCCCCCCTTTCTCTCGTTCTCTCCCCCACCCCCCGTCTCTCTCTCTCTCTCCCCTCTTTCTCTCACCCCAGCCCCCCTCTCTCTTTGACTTTGTGCCAATCAAATGAAATGAAATCAAATTGAATTTGTCACATGCACCGAATACAACAGGTGTAGACCTTACAGTGAAATGCTTACCTACAGGCCCTTAACCAACATTGCAGTTCAAGAAATAGAGTTAAGAAAATAATTAAACAAAAGTAAAACATTTAATAAAAGTAACACAATAAAATAACAATAACGAGGCCATATACAGGGGGTACCGGTACCGAGTCAATGTGCGGGGGTACAGGTTAGTCGAGGTAATTTGTACATGTAGGTAGGGGTAAAGTGATTATGCATAGATAATAAACAGCGAGGGTCAATGTAAATACTCTGGGTGGCCATTTGATTAATTGTTCACCAGTCTTATGGCTTGGGGGTAGAAGTTGTTAAGGAGCCTTTTGGTCCTAGACTTGGCGCTCCGGTACCGCTTGCCGTGCGGTAGCAGAGAGAACAGTCTCTGACTTGGGTGACTGGAGTCGTTGACCATTTTGTGGGCTTTCCTCTGACACCGCCTGGTATAGAGGTCCTGGATGGCAGGAAGCTTGGCCCCAGTGATGTACTGGGCCGTACGCACTACCCTCTGTAGCGCCTTACGGTCGGATGCCAGAAGACAGTGCAGTGTGTTACTGTTCTGACCTGAAGACAGTGCAGTGTATTACTGTTCTGACCTGAAGACAGTGCAGTGTATTACTGTGATGACCTGAAGACAGTGCAGTGTGTTACTGTTCTGACCTGAAGACAGTGCAGTGTATTACTGTTCTGACCTAAAGACAGTGCAGTGTTACTGTTCTGACCTGAAGACAGTGCAGTGTATTATGTTCTGACCTGAAGACAGTGCAGTGTATTACTGTTTGACCTGAAGACAGTGCAGTGTATTACTGTTCTGACCTGAAGACAGTGCAGTGTATTACTGTTCTGACCTGAAGACAGTGCAGTGTATTACTGTTCTGACCTGAAGACAGTGCAGTGTATTACTGTTCTGACCTGAAGACAGTGCAGTGTGTTACTGTTCTGACCTGAAGACAGTGCAGTGTGTTACTGTTCTGACCTGAAGACAGTGCAGTGTGTTACTGTTCTGACCTGAAGACAGTGCAGTGTATTACTGTTTCTGACCTGAAGACAGTGCAGTGTATTACTGTGCTGACCTGAAGACAGTGCAGTGTGTTACTGTTCTGACCTGAAGACAGTGCAGTGTATTACTGTTCTGACCTGAAGACAGTGCAGTGTATTACTGTTCTGACCTGAAGACAGTGCAGTGTATTACTGTGCTGACCTGAAGACAGTGCAGTGTGTTACTGTTCTGACCTGAAGACAGTGCAGTGTATTACTGTTCTGACCTGAAGACAGTGCAGTGTATTACTGTTCTGACCTGAAGACAGTGCAGTGTATTACTGTTCTGACCTGAAGTCAACCCAGTGATGTAGATACCCTTCTCTCTTCTACAAAAACCCCTTCTGATCCGTTACTCCATAACTGCAGTGTACATCAACACCCAGCAGACCTGCTATCCACCGCTGTAGATGTCTGAGCACATGGAGGAAGTTGATATCAAACCTCTATACCAAATAATATGGTTGATGTTGTTGCTTTGAAGAAACGGTTTGGGTATTTCTTCAAATTACAGCCTATTTCTAGTGTGATTACTGCAGAATCTAAAACACAGATCAAATCTAAAGACTAAAAAATACAAATACTTTCAATGATGTAGTTACTGGTATGTTCCACAATACACCTTTAAGTTGAACAGGAGACCTGTAGGTGAACAAGGTATCTGCTTGAATATCAACATAAGTTCTGACGTCAAAGTGATGTCATTTCCTTCCCCTCCGGCAACTCAGTTCAGCTCACCGTCTCTATTGACTTATTTCCTCTCACCCCTATGGACTCTGGTCCAAAGTAGTGCACTATAAAGGGAATAGGGTGCCATTTGGGATGCAGTATACATTTGACACTCCCACTAGCTGACAACACATCTCTGACTATCTGAAAACCCTTTCTCCTTGTCCATGTGACACTTCTCTCCAGAACCATCAACATGATCACGCTCCTCATACAAGTAGCAACTCTACTACTATGGGTGACAGGTATTAAGTCCCTCATGAAATATATATTTACTACTGAAGTATATTGCTACTGTATATTTCATATTGTCTGTTTTCATCCACAGGGCTGTCACAAACAAACAAAGTTCAACCAATAGGCTGTACCGACTTCAGTCGAGTCCAAAGACGCTTGTGGGTCTCATCTTTCCATACAGGGATCATAATAGTTTCTAACCGTTAGGAAGCTACAGATGATTTTATGAGAAGGCTAATTTTCAGGATGTCTCATGGTCTGACAAACACCGGTCTAGCTCTGTCACCTTTCACCCCAGATGTGGAAGTGCAACGTCGGCGGAGGCGGTGGATTGAAACGCCTCAAATTGACAGATTATTAGATTTCCGCGGGGCGCGGACTTCGACTCTAGGATGAAGGCAGTAAAATGAAGGGAGTAGTAAAAAGAGGAGAGGAGGATTTAAGGCAGGTAAAAAAAGAGGAGAGAGAGGATGAGGCTGTAAAAAGAGAGGGGAGGAGGTGAAGGCAGTAAAAAGAGAGAGGAGGATGAAGGCGTAAAAAAGGGAAGGGAGGATAAAAGCTAAAAAGAGAGAGGAGGAAAAGACAGAAAAAAAGAGAGGGGGAGGATGAAGGGTAAAAAAGAGAGGGGGGGTTTAAGGCTTTAAAAAAAGAGAGAGGAGGGAGAAGGCGTAAAAAGAAAGGGGAAAGGGGGGATGAGAGGGAGGATGGGCAGTAAAAAGAAGGAGGAGAAGGCTTTAAAAAAGAGAGGGAGGGAGGAAGGCGTAAAAAGAGAGGGGGAAAAAGGGTTAAAAAAAAAAGAGGGGATCGTAAAAAGGGAAGGGGGTAAAAACAAAAAAAGAGGGGGTTTTAAAACGTAAAAAAGAAGGGGGAAGGGGAAAAAAAGGGGAGGATAAGGGAAAAAAGAGAGAGGGGATAAGGCGTGGGAAGGATAAGCAGTAAAAAAGGAGAGGAGGATAAAGGGCAGTAAAAAGAGAGGGGGTAAAGGGCTTAAAAAGAGAGAGGGAATGAAGGCAGTAAAGGGAAAGGGAGGAGAAGGCAGAAAAAAGGGAAGGGGAGGAGGGGGTAAAAAAGAAGGGGATGAAGCAGTAAAAAAAGAAAGGATTTTAAGAAAAAAAGGAAGGAAAAAAAGGGCATAAAAAAGAAAGGGGGATGAAGGCATAAAAAAGAGAGAAGGAAGGCATTAAAAAGAAAAGGGTTTTAACGTAAAAAGAGGGGGGGGGATAAGATTAAAAAGAGAAAAAGGAAAAAAAGGAGAAGAGAGAGGAGATAAACAGAAAAAGGAGAGGGGGAGGAAGGCAAAAAAAGGAGAAGGAGGAGAAGGCAAAGTAAAAAAAAGGGGGAGGATGAACGTAAAAAAAAAAGGGGGGAGGTTAAGGCAAAAAAAAGAAAGGGAGAAATAAAAAGAGAGAGGAGGATTAAGGCATTAAAAAAAAGAGAGGAGGATAAAACGGAATTAAAAGAGAGAGGGATGAAGGCTTAAAAAAGAGAGAGGATGACATAAAAAAGGGGGGAAAAAAGGGAAAATAAAAAGAAGGGGGGATAAAGGCAGAAAAAAAGGAAAATGAAGCAGTAAAAAAAAGGGGGAGGAGGATTAAGGCGTAAAAGAGAGGGGGAGGAGAAGGCTAAAAAGAGAAGGAGGAGAAGGCATAAAAAGAAAGGAGGATGAAGGCGTAAAAAAGAGAGGAGGATGGGAAAAAGGAGGGGAAAATGATAAAAACAGTAAAAAGAGGGGGGGAGGGAAGGCAGTAAAAGAGAGAGAGGAGAAGGAGAAAAAGAAGGGAGGAGAAAGCGTAAAAAGGAGAGGGAGGATGAAAGAGTAAAAGGAGAGGGGAGGATAAGGGCTTAAGAAGAAGGATAAGAATTAAAAGAGAGAGGAGGATAAGAAAGTAAAAAAAAAGGGGGGGTAAAGAGTAAAGAGAGAGGAGGTGAAGGCGTAAAGAGGGGGAGGGGGTAAGGAAAAAGAGAGGAGGATGAAGGCAGTAAAAAAAAGGAAAAAGGGGGGAAAAGAGAGAAGAAGGTTTTAAAAAAAGGAGGGGGATAAAAGCGTAAAAAAAAGAATGAAGGAGTAAAAAGAAGAGGAGGATAAAGGGGATAAAAAAGAAATAAGATTAAAAAGAGAGAGGAGGTAAGCATAAAAAAAGAATAAATAAAAGAAGAGGAGGAAAGGCAGTAAAAAAAGGGAGAGGAGGAGAAGGAATTAAAGAGAGAGAGGAGGATGAATGCGTAAAGGGGAAAGGAGCAACAAAATTTTTTGACATTTTTTCCCTTTTGTGGTTTCAAAGGACATTTTTATATGATTTTTTTCCGTACCTAATACAAACATTATTTGAAATGACGTGAAGAAGTGTGTTGTATTGTTCTGTTTTTTTATTGTATTAAATTTCGCAAATTAAAACCAATGGTAAAACAGGGAGTTAACGTTGTTTTCGTTTTCGTTTTTTTCAGGGGAAATTTTAAAAGTATAACGTTTTAAAGGTGAAACAATGCCATAATGAGGAAAACAAATTAAAGAGAACATTTAATTTGAAAGTTATTTCCAATAAAAAATACATAATAACAAAA